TAGAAATAATATTTGAAGATGGTTGCCAACACAACAAGGAATATAATAGCGCATCGACTTTTGAAATTTCAACACGAATCTGCCCTGTTTTGGTTAAGCTGTCTCCGAAATATGTAACCACCAAGTAATGACATGTGTCCGTGAATATGGGTTGTATTCTAAAAAGAACGCCATCCACAATAATGAGAATACCCAAAATGAGCAGATAGGTTTTCGGGTCATATATACAGTCGTTATTGGAAAAAAAGTTGCTGTTAAATTGCTTGTTCCTGTCAGATCGAGAACGGGTCAGTTTGCTAGAATAAAAAATAACTTTCAAACTAAAACCGACCGGTGTAGATTGAAAAAAGTTTGTCCGGAAATTACTAGTATTAGAAATGTTGATATATAAAATACTATGAAGGGGGCGGTTAATTTGTGGCTGATAAGAAGGTTATGTTAGATAAAAATTCTACGGAGTAATCACTTTTTAGGAGATCTTTGCTTGGGGTACCAGTAACATAAAACTACTTCGTTGAAATGGGCCAATTAGCATTTTTATCACATTACCATTATTACACGAAAAACTGTATTTAGGTGACTTTAATCATATGTTGTTTAAGGATAACGATATTCCTGTGGGGAAAATCCTTCAAAAGTAGGTCACATGCATTGCCTTTCGTGACTCGGTGCAGTCCGTCCACAAAGAGCAGTCTTCCCAAAGAAAGTAAAAAAATCCTGTCCTCTTTTCATTGAATAACGTTAGTCTTGCCTTTGAACAGATATTTTTGTTACCCAAATTAAACTTGCTAAATAAAGATGGTTCAATTTATTTTCGCTTGTAAACTTGCCCTTTGGACAAATACAATCCAATATATAAAACAACTGTATCTAGTGGGCGATGACGACTGTACATTTGCAAATCGTTCCTGCACGCCGTGAGCCATAACCGAGCACTGTTTACATAGACACAGATGTGATACATGACATACGCAAATTACGGAAGACAGCGTTCCCACTGCCGCCCGATGAGCTCTGATTCGACTTTCCAAAAGTGAGTCACGAGAAGTGCAAAACGACCTGAAAAGGGTTCTTGAGACTACGCAGTGGAGACAAGACCTCTGACAAGACCCTGACATAGCTAAGCACAAATAAATGATCCACTCATACTTCGGGCGAAATGTGGTCGGATGAAGAAAAATTTCGGACATTTTAGCGCATTCCTATTTATGTTTATTCATCAAGTAGGCATAAAGGGATAAAACACCTAACAGTGGATTAAAAGGTTTAAAGCCTCAGACTCTTGATTGAGCACCAGCGACAATTTTGTGCTACTGGTTGACTTGACGCGGGCTCATGTATTTACGGATTTTATTTTTCCACAATTATTTGATTGGTTACAAAGGATAAAATCGGACGATCACCGAATATCGCCGTCTAAGTTAGGAATCTCGGGACGTTCACTGCGGCTTTTAGGTTTTAAGATAATCTATTTAACCATCTAATGAGTCATCCGTTGGTGAGTTTATTTATCTGTCATTTATCTATCTCTCTATCTATCTATCTACCTGTTCATCTTTGTGTTTCATATATAATCTACCTATCTATCT